CAGCAGCACAGGAGCGTTTGTCAAGAGGTAGAGCGACGGCAGGAGCAGCGGTGCGATGCCGGGCCATTGAAGCAGCCCGAGGAACCGAGCAACACAGGGAGACAGCCCGGAGGTGGTCTCTTGGAGCAGGAGGGGTTAAGGGGTTCAGCTGAGAAGGGGGCACTTGAAGGAGAAGCCTTGACTGAAGAGGATGATGAGGACTCCAAAAATCTTCCAGTTTCAGCCAGACCTGCCTGTGCAAATAAGTTAATAGACTATATCATAGGGGGAGTTTCCAGTGGGGAGGAGAGTACGGATGATGGGGAAGACTGGGATGATGATGACGACGATGGGTTTGATAGCGAAGGACTCCCCTCAGATTCAGATGCTGGTAGCCAGGACGGAGAAAGGCTTCATCTCTGGAATTCCTTCTACAGTTTGGATCCTTACAACCCTCAGAACTTCACAGCCACCATTCAGACATCTTCCAGCAATCCTGGAAAGGATATGTTGGAGGAGGAGGAGGAGGAGGAGGAAGATTCTTCGTGGGCAGAGGAGTCTTCAGGCTCTTCTCACCCTAGTTCTGAAGAGGAGGACGAGTGGGACTGCAGCAGTGTGGATGAAGCGGAAAACTTGAAACTTTGGAACTCGTTCTGTACCTCAGATGATCCATATAACCCCTTAAATTTCAAGGCAGCCTTTCAAACAGCAGAGAAAAAAGGGACGTCTGGTTTAAAAGGAGCAGAGAGGCCGAGTTTGGTCACTTCTGAGCGTAGCCACTTAACTGTCTGTCGGGTGCAGTTGGAAAAACATAACTGTGGGGTCGCTGACTTTGTGCAGCATGACATTCTTTCTGGTGAAAAATGTAGAAGTACCAAGCGGAAAAAGGTATATACTTTATTTATGGTTTTGTGTTTTGGGAATGCTTTAAAAAACCCAAACAAACAACAAACCCACGTTGCGCTAAGCAGTGCGTGAGTGGGTGAGGTCGCTTGTGCCAGCATTCCAGGCGCAGCGTTGGGCAGATCATGCCCCCATGAGCTTATGGTCTAATTATTTGTCTGAAATGAGCGTGCCTCATCCTTTACACGTGATGGTAGATTTCATCAATCAGTGGCACAGGGCGGATAATTTCTTTAGATTTCTTTTCTAGGCTTGAAGCTAAATTTTCCTTTTAAGACGTAATTTTCATTCTGTATTTGTGTTGTAATGTAGTTTTCGTCATCAGAGAAACAGATGAGAAGAGATGAGTGGGTTTTTCCTCTGGAAAGTACCGGTTTCAGTTGCAGATAATGTTAATAAAGCATTTTAGGACCTTTGCATGTGCATAGTATAATCGATACTTGAAGCATTGTAGACATTTTAGGACTTGTGACGAGCCTGCTTGAGTTACAAACATCTTTTGGAGTAGGAAGAACTCTTCTGTTGTGGGTGAACACATGCTACAGTAAGCCACCGAAGTTTCAAGAGAGTGTAGTAATATTCCCATTTCCATTTAAGAGACTATTACAATTCAGCAGTGATTTCTTTAAAGGATGTAATCTGGAACTGGGGTTTTGAGCACAAACTGGAAGTGTAATGTGTTGATGAGGAGTTAGTGCGTTAAAAAAAATTTTCAATACATGTGCTAGGATTCAGGTAAATAGTAATAAATTTGTCTTCTCGTGGGTTTTATGATGCTACAGATGTACAAGGTGGCTTTCAGGTGTCCTGTCTTGCCTGGTACTTCAAACGTATATGAGTTGTGACACCAAGTCCCAGGGTAATACACCAGTGTAACAAGTTGGCAAAATAGGAAAGTTGTATGATGCTTGCTTTAGTATTCTTAGAGCAGAGAGATTTATTTGCTCCTTTGAGAGCCTCACTGGGCGGTAACTTCGTATCTGTTTTTGCTAGGGCAAGTGGCATTTAATGGTTCACACAGGATAAATTGTTACATTCTCATCGAAATGGAAAAGACTCAGTTTCTGTGAGAGGTCCTTTTAACTGACAGCATCTGTGTGAAATGCTGCAAGGTAGCACTGATGAGCCCTGCTCCAAGTTCATACTGCTGTGACCTAAAATCTTGTTGCGTGTCTACTACTTAACAGTAGTAATTTTTTGACTCATTTGTTGTTTGGCTCCGTGTAATCTGTTGACATGGTGAAAGAACGATGATCTAGACGCAATATTTAGCATGATGTTACAAAATCCAGTAATTGTGCCCAAGGGTGTCTTAAGACTGATGTAAAAAGGATGCAAGGTAGGAACTCGCAAAGGGATAGGCTGATGTAACAACTCCGTGTGCTTGGAAGCAGATGCCTAATTAGGCCCCTCTGCAAAAGAGAGCAGAGATTGCCAAGCCGTGACCGAGGTGTTCCCAGCAGATCTTCAAGTCATTCACCCTGCCAAAGGCTGTTTCCTCTCTGGCATCCTGCAATCAAACAGCAATATTTATGTTTGTAAAGTCATAAAACTTGGGAGCATTTTGTTTCAATTGCAAGTTAGCAGTGCAATGGCATTATGCCATGACATGTGGGGCCTGATGCCCCTGCTTTCACAGACGACTTGGCAGTAATTTGGGATCGCTGCACTAGAATTAGATGTCTCGTGGAGTTTGCTTTCACACAGCCTTTTGTGGCTTTGTATCCTCAAATGCTGATTATTCTTGTAGGTCATCTCTTCTGTAGCTGTTGCCTTCATGTTTTCTGTGAAGGTTGGAAGATGGCTCTACCCCAAAAAGCAATCTCAATCTATACTCCTCATTGTGTTAGCATGAACTGGGTGTGAAACTCAGGTTCTGTGTTAATAAAACATAGGAATGCAGCAGCAATTTTTTTCTACCTCCCCACATTTTTTTCCTGACCTTCCAGAAGTACCTCTCCTGCAAGAAATTCAGTGGAGTCATCTGTAACGACAGGGTTTGGCTTCAAGAATTGGTCCTAGTCTGAGAGCTGAGGGATGCTGACAGCTGGTTAGTTTGTCCTTCAGTTTCGTGCCTTTTTTATGGCTAAATTAAAAGCAATACATAACTCAGTAGGAGCTTGAGATAGTCAGGCTTTTGCTTATCACTTGATAACAGAAGGACTTAAATCCTTATTATAGTAATAGTCTAAATACTGTCAAGTTTAGATCCTGAGGAGGTAAGTTTCTTGGTTTTCTTAAAATAGCTTAATGGTTCTTAAAAATAGTGAAAAGTGAAAGTTTTCGTGTGTATTTTAAAGTGCCATGACTTTGACTTCAAGTCATTTCATGCATGACTGCACTGGCATTTGATACCAGCCCTAAATAGATGGGTTTGTTCCAGTCACGCAGCGATGAGTGTTGCTTCCTTACATATAGCATAGTGTGACTTCTTTCCTGGTGCTGAAGTACAAGCTGACTCACATGGTTACTGATTCTGCAGAACAATGACTTTTCCTCTTTTTTTATGATGTAAGCTTCAGTAATTGGAGAGGTTGGCCCATAGCATATTTCTAGTCCTACGTGAGTGTCCTGGTATGTCCTACTGAGTAACCCACTTGAACTGTGTCTGTGTAAGGTTATAACCTGCTCCTGATGTCGGGGGGGG